TATTTGTATTATTCTTTTTTTAATTGTATTTGTATTATTATTTTTTTCATTAATAATAATAATAATTTTCTTGTACCGTTTAGCATTTTATTTTATTATTTTATTGTGTTTTCTTTCACTACTGTTATGTTACTTTTTGTTTTTATGTAAGAATTTGATTTCCTTTTTATTTTATTTTATTTTATTTTATCATTACTAATTTATTGTAGTGTATTCTTTTATTTGATATTTTATTGTATTTTATTTAAAAAAATTTTATTTAATTGTTTTATTTTTATTAGTAGAAGAAGATTTAGACAACATTAGATAAGAACATTACATAAGAACATTACATTATCAGTATCTGAAAAAAATCATAGAATTAAAATTAGAACCAGTGTAAAACTCTAAATTAGAACCAGAATCAAGTTTGTTACAGTCCAAAAAAAACACAAAAAAAACCATGCTGTTTAAAACTAGCAGGTTAATAAGCATAAAGCATAGTTTTGCCTCCTTTGATGATGCTTTACTAAAAAAAAACTACTTTCAGAATACTTTTTTCATCAAAATAGCTAACAGCAAATGGACTAATTGGAGTTAGAATTACAGTTAGGAAACTTGAGTTTGTAGAATTAGATTAGTTTAATTTAGAATTAGTCATTAGAGTCAGAATAATATTTAGCTTTGTATTAGTAAATGTACGTCTCATAGTTAAAAATTCAGGAGTCATAACGAAGAAAACAGAGTATTATAGGAAAACATTGGTGCAGAAATTACTGTCTAAATGACGGTAAATTGAAAAGTGGTAGTTAAGAGACAGGAGGGGCATAACCAGTGTGAATTGAGTCCAAATCGTCAGTAATTCAGATTAAAGTAGTTGGTAAATGATTCAGTGCTAGATCTATTAATGACTCTCATTTTTTCAGGTAGACAGTGACTCAGATGTAAATATGAAGGTAGTTTGTGTCTCAAACATCCAGCTGCTGTGCTGCATCTGTCTAGTGTTGGTGGCCATCTAGTGTAAAGAGAGAAATCTCCTCCTCCACATCTCTCTCTCTCTCTCTCTCGTTCTCTCTCACTCAATCTATTGTCTCTCTCTCTCGCTCTCTCTGAGAGTCTGATGGAGTTTGGCAGCTCTTGCTTGCAGCCACAGGCCTACTAGCAAACACATTATTATTAAATGTACACTTCTTTGAATATTAAAATATTGACGGGACAGATTTCTCTCAGCATCAGTAAATATTTGCCATCCTAACCAAACATTTTTTGCTTTGGTTTGTCATGGAAAACCTGGAAATATCAGTACATTTTTCAAACTCTGACATTCAGTCCTGTAAATCCTAGAAAATCTTGGAAATGTTTATACTTTATAAATTAAAAACATAAATAGTATAAAATATTTCAGTATAGATAATAATGATTTTTGATTTGATTATTCAAAATCCAGTGTTTTCTATTTTTATTAGTTGAATTGAGTTTAAATGTATCTGTTTAATACTTTGACTCTAATCTCCTTGTTTATATGATGCTCTGATTGCAAAAATTAATTATATAATTTCATAGTTTTTAACAGATATTGCCTCCATCTTGTAGTCCTTAAATATATTGAACTACTTTATGTTAGTAGCTACTTTTTCAGTAGTTTTGACGTAGCTTTCGCATGCTGGTCGTGACTCTTGTGTCCAGCAGGTCATATGTGAGTCTTCACACGCCTCTGAAACACTAAAGCTGTGAGGAGAGATGGGAAGAGAGTTCTAGTGAGCGAGGGGCGTGATGCGCAGTGCTCAAACGGACATCGTACAGTTTTAAATGCTACATTTGCGTTGTGTGTGTGTGTGTTAGTGCTGCTCCTTTTGTCCTGATCCAGTTTGACTCTAATGGGGCCCAGTGGTGAATTTTTCATTTTGCCCAGAGGGAAGCAACATCGTACTGCAGAGAGAGAGAGAGAAATGTCTTTTTTTAAACATACTTGGTTCCTCTGTTGCAATTAATGCATGTACTGTGAAGCACGACATCAGACATCTGCAAACGCTGATTGCTGTGAAGTTCCTCTGACTCTCTTTAGCACTTCTGCTCTGATATGTCGAGTCGTGGTAATTAAGCAGACAATGTAAGATCGAATCTGGATTGCGTCATTTCCTCAAAAATACATGTGCATATTTGAACCTTCAGACACATCAGGCTGGACTTCATTGATATCAGACACAGCTGGTTCTTGTTTGGTTTGTAACTCATTGCAATTCAGTAGGTCTGAATATGAACAAGTGCAGATGAGATGTGAGAATTACAAGAGCGAGGAGTGCCTTACAAAGGTGCAGAAGTTAAATGAACTACTTTAATGATGCTTTTTTGTCCACTTTATCCTCCCTGTGACCATAGGCGTAATTTGCGGGTGGGACGGGTGGGACATGTCCCCACCACTTTTTGCCAGGGTCGATATTGTCCCTACCACTTTTTGAAAGTAATTGAAAAATATATTGCGGAAGGTATGTATTAAAGGGAAAAAAAGATCAACCCCACCACTTTTCAAAGCAAAGTTACGCCACTGCCTGTGACTCATTTTTATTTAACGATATATTTTCTACTTTTTACATTTTTATTTACATTTACATTTTTTACATTTATTTATTACATTATTTACATTTATTTATTTATATTTATAAAATTAATATATTTTTAAATTGTATTATATGTTTTTAGTTTTATACAATCATATTATAAAATGTACACTTCTTTGAATATGAATATATTGAAAGGACATTTTTATGTCAGCATTATGAAATAAATCATAATTGGCATTCAAACCAAACTTTTTTTTTTTTACTATGGTTTGTTTAATTTTCAAGTGTCTCACAGTCATGGCAAACCTGAAAATATCAGTAAACTTTAAAACTATGACATTCAGACCTGGAAATCTTAAATCTTATGTACGGTATGCAAAAATATTAAGAAGCATATCTGTTTTCAGTGTTGAACAATTTACAATATTACAATATTACAAAATATTTCAATTTAAAATAAATGATGTTGTTTTGAATTTTTTATTTATCAAAAAAATGTGTCACTGTTTCCAGCAAAATATGAAGCAGCACAACTGTTTTCAACATTGATAATAATCAGAAATGTTTCTTGAGCAGCAAATCAGCATATTAGAATGATTTCTGAAGATCATGTGACACTGAAGACTGGAGTAATGATGCTGAAAATTCAGCTTTGATCACAGAAATAAATTACATTTTAACATATATTCAAGTAGAAAAAAGTTATTTTAAAGTGTAATAATATTTCACAATATTAATGTTTTTTACTGTATTTTTAATTAGATAAATGCAGCCTTGGTGAGCAAAAAAAATACTTATTTAATTTAAAAAATATATATTTAAAAAAACTTGACTAACCTCAACTTTTGAACAGTAGCATATGTCATACTGTCATGCATTTTTATTTGCCACAAATCAACATCAACTGACAATTAACCATTTTACTGCATTTATTACTCCTAGATAATTTCAGCATTTTTTAAATACTTTTGTAAAATCAAAAGTTGTATTACATTACATTAGGTAATGCACTTGTCAACTTCCATGAACAATAATATTTTTATTAAGCAACTTTAACAGATAAAAAATGGTGTAAAATCATATTACTCATTCTTAGTTCATGGCAGCTAATGTGAACAAATTACATTTTATTATTAAACTCCGGTCCGGCTCTTGTGTGATGGGGGTTTTCAGGACACACACACACACACACACACACACACACACATACACACAAACAGACAGATGTTCTAATAAGTTGTAATTTCCACTCCACCATGGCTTTTAGCTCTGTCTTACTTATGCAAATATCTTTTGCCTTGAAATCTATTTGGAGTTGCTTGAAGGGGTCCAGAATGTTGTCCTGCTGTCCCCCCCCACACGCTCCTGCTGTCTGCCCCAGCGGCCTGCCCCGCGCCGCCTCTCATCCGTCATGTGGAAAACTTTTTACCAGCACATACACGCAGAAACATGCCCAGAATAACCCCCACTCCCACTTGCTGTCTGTCTCTCTCATCCTCAGAACACACGTTTACTACATAATGCATATTCAATAGTATACATACTGTATATTTCTTGGTTACAAAATTAAATTCTGACATGCTTTTTAAATTTAAATAATGAAAAACTGAATATTCATTAGCTTTGTCATATTTTATTATGAATTATGATTTTATTTACACACAATTTTTCATCTTTACTACTTTAAAGCAAACTTTTGTCAGTCAAACCCCTTTTTAATGTAATTCCTGATATTTTAAGTTATTTTAATTTCAATAATTTAACAACACATTCTGAAGTTCAGGTTCTCTGATGTTGGTTGATGGTCACATGATATCCAGGTAAGAAAATTAAATATTTCAGTTTATATTCTTTTGCTATCTTATAATTGATGAACATTGCAACATGGATACAGTTATTGAACAGAATTGAATTAACATTGATCTGAACTGAATAATGACACTATTGACTTCTGTAGAGCTGCTTTACAGTTGAATAGATTTCATCATTTATAAATTTTGCAATATATTGACACTTATTGAACTGAATTAAATAAACACTGAATTAAATTGAGCTGAATTATTGTCTGTAAAGCTGTGTTATTTTAGTATCATTGAGATAATAGTTTTTATTAATATTTAGAATTTTTGGTTTTTAAATATGCCATTTTTATTAATTTTTGTGTGTGTGTGTGTCTTTCTGAAACACATTACATTACAGAAATAAAACTGCTTGCTAACTTGGTTTCACATTAAAATTGAGAAGTATGGCTTCATATGTTTTTCTACATCCCAAGTCCCATTATTATAAAGAGCACTCTGGACATTCAGCAGTATTCCACAGAATCAAGTCAATGACACATCCTGTGAAGATGACATGAAGATGAGTAGGTACTTCCACTCTCTAGAGTGTTGTGATGTCACATGTGTGAATCCTCTCTCCTCACAGCTTTCCAGAAACACCCCGCAGCATCACAGAGAATCAGCTGCCATCTTCAGTGGGGTAAGATGTGTCAGTGTGAAAACCCTCTTCATCTGTGCTCAGTTTCATGCATACAGCTAACTGTGAGTTGCACGTGAGAAAAAGTAATGACATTTTGCATGTAATGGTATTTTTTACATGGCAGGTAACATACATTTTTTCTCATTGATATGAATATTTTTATTTAAAATGTGTATAGTATTCCCCAGTGATTTAACTTGTGCCACGATATCCACCTTATTTTGCAATGTGGAAGAGATATCCGATTCCTATGGCAAAAATCAAATATATTTTTAATCAAAATATACAAAAAAGACCAAAAATATATTTTCCACAATATGTTTCAAAATATTTTATAGAAATATATTTCCTACCAGTACATTTTTGGCCTTTTTAAAATGCATTTAAAAATATATTTTGCCCTCCATATATTTCAATCCAACAAAATATGTTAACATATGTCCCATTTAAAGAAAAACTTTATTTGTTGTCTATGTGAACATATAACACATTTGAATAATAATAAATCATGAATAAAGCCTAAATGTAGGTTATGTAAGATTGGATATGTATTTTCTTGTCCCTAAATATATATATTTATATTGTCCCTGAAAAAAATAATTGGCATATGAAGGTTGAAACTAAATATATTTTAAATTTCCAAAAATATATTTCATTCAGCTTCACTGTTTACAACATATATTTAGCATTTATTTAAAATATATTTTGGCCGGAAAAAAGCGATGCGTATGTCAACGGAAGTCTTACATATATTCAGTTTACATTAAAAATAAAGCCAATAGCACAGATTAACGTGGCGCTGTCACTGGACAGCTTTTTTTTTTAGTTCATTTAGAAAAAAAGTGCTCAGTATAACTTACATTAGCGTTTTGAAGGCAAGACATAAATCCTTGAGATCAGTCTTGAGAACTTTTTCTTAAAGTACATCTCTATGACGCCATCTAGTGTGCAGCAAAAAGCTTCTCATATTCACAGGCCTGTTTAACTTCATTGAACAAAAATGCTGACAAAATCTTGAAAACTCAGAGTAAAGGCTAAGATGTTAATATGACATGGTTAATAAATGGCATTGGAACGACTGTCAAAATGTGAAATTTAAATTCAGCCAATTCTGTAGCTAATGTGTCATGAATGGAAATCACATCTTGGTGACATCTCATCAATCATGTTCCAGCATATCATTATTTAAACTCTGGCGACAGACATACAAAATAAAGCCAATCTCAGTGATGCCTCAGAGTCAGTCAGCTGTTTTTAAACTTCATGATGTGACTTTCAATGAACAAAGGCTGTTATTAGTTTTGCTCCTTTGTGTCCTGCATATTAAATACTGACATTATAAAAGTTCTCATAATTAAAAATGTACAGACAAATTTTTTTTTCCCCAATTGTAAAATAAAGTCACAGTATTTTAGTTACGGATTAATCATATAGAAACCTAGATTAATTTGTTACTGCATTCTGAGTGTTTATTCACATTTCTGACGCAGTGTGAGGATTTGGTTGTATATCATACATTATGCTTATGCTGTTTTCTCATATGTTTTATGCTGTTTATAGTTATAGGCTAAACCTGAAATCAGAAAACCCTAAATGTACAAGTACAAAATCCCCCAATAAGTACTTGTAATTTGAATGTGTGAGGCTTGCCATTGGCTTCCAGTTATTTTACCTGTGCAAAAATAGCCTGTTATCCTGCTTGATACTTATATTTGTTTTTATTGATATATTTGTTACTATATAATATCAATTCATTAACAGTCATAAACTGGCACACCGGCAGGTGGAAAAACGCTCCGTCGCCACTGAGGTAGAAGGACACGCGGCCGTTTTTCTCTCTCCACACGTTGAGCTCGTCGAAGTCGGGCGTCCGGTAGGCGAACAGAATGATCTGACGCTCGCCCTGGAGCTCCGTCGCGACGCGCATGCAGAGCGTGAACGCTGTAAGGCCCAGTGGCTTCTTAGGTGTGAGCTGAACGTAGCTGAAATCAGTCTCGTACGGGAACAGAAGCACTTTACCACCGAGACCCACTGCAAGACCAAATAAAATACTGTAACCAACACAAAACCAGCTCAAACTCCTGCTGCGTGAATGTAACATACAGTACCTTCAGTAGCTGCTGGGTTCAGAGAGAGCAGACCGAAGAATAAAACCACTGGCACCAACATCATGCTGCAGGTCTGAAAGAAAAAAGAATAATAATACAACAATTAAGAAGATTAAAATTGTTGTCTTAGTCTGACATATTAATGCCTTATTTCCATTTTCCTGTAAATGAGCACTTTCTAAAAATGGCAAGCTTCTGTTGGTGAATCACAGTTGTCAAGACAACCACAATTCATCCAGAAAATAAGATAAATAAATACATACATAAACATATTAGGACCATTAGGGTTTTTGCATTGCAACATTTTCATGACAAACATATTATCCACAAAAATTACTTTAAAGTGAATATTGTTTTAGTAGGCTATGATGATACATTTGTTAGTTTTATTATGCATGATTTATACTAGTTTTAAATGGGGAAAAGTTTTTGAGGGATTTTATTTATCTATTTTTTGCATCAGAATAAATGTAAAAATTGTCCTAATAATTATAAATAAATAATGATAATAATAATGTAATGCATTTTTATATAAAGAATTTTCTGGTGAAAATAGCATTTCTTCATGAGCTTCATCCCAGTCAGGATATGTGTGCCACAACATTATTGTAGTTAGCTAAAACTAAAACTGATAAGAAATAAACTGAAATAAAATCAGCTGAAGTTTTTTTTTTTGTATATATATTTTTTTATTCCATCTAGTTGCCAAGACAACAATTATTAACATATTGAAATGGTACTAAATAACTAAAACTGAAATAAAGACACAATTACCAAAACATGAATTAAAAATGAAAACTGTAACTAAAAATAATAACTAATTCAACATATTAAGTAAAACAATACTAGCATCTCAATGATACTAAAATAACACTAGTGTGCAATATAATAACATTATTATTAATATTACATCATAACATTTAGTATCTCAAAGCATTACATTTCAAATGATTGTTTCAGTTTTTCAGTGATTATATAAATGAAATTGTGACAAATGTAATACTTACTGCGTAGCAGAAGGGTGTTTATTTCTGCCTCTGAGGAAAGAAACGCTGCTGAGAAAGAAACTTCCCTCCTTGCACCATGATGACATCAGCTAAACCAACAAAAGATGCTGTGTGAGGATTCACACGATCATGAGGCCAAAAACACAAAGGCCTGGTTTCATAGACGGGGCTTAGACTAAGCCAGGATTAGGCCATAGTTCAATTAAGACATTTAAGTAATTTTTATAAACGTGCCTTAGAAAAAAAACATTACTGGTGTGCATCTTGAGACAAAACAAAGGCACTGATATTATTTAAGATCAGTCAGTGCAAGTTTCTTTCATTTGAAACAGCTCAGACTTACATTTTAGTCTAGGACTAGGCTTAAGCCTGTTCTGTGAAACCAGGGGAAAGACGTTTTCAAATGTCTCTTCCTCTGGATTTCTCGCTCTGTCAAATACAAATAGACAGAGTTGAATTTATAAAATGGCACTATGAAGACATCACCTTTTTTTAACATAACATTTTGCCTTTTGTACAATACAGAAATAGTCTTTTTAATGTTATTTGAGTTGTGAAAACATTGGTGAAATCTTGACAAAGAGTTGACATTAGTCTTTTCCCATTTAAGATAATAGAAGCTGCGTGTCATATGATTTCATGAAATCGTGGTTGAATAACAGTATAATAATACTTCTAGAATGTTTGAGTAAAGGTTCTGGGAATTTAAAGGGGTCATATGATGTGATTTCAAGTTTTCCTTTCTCTTTGGAGTGTTACAAGCTGATTGTGCATAGATAAGATCCCTGAAGTTGCAAAGACTAAAGTCTCAAAACCAAAGAGATATTCTTTATCAAAGTTAAGACTCTGCCACGCCTACCTAAAACGGCTCGTTCTAACACGCCCCCACATATCTACCTCACTATGTGGAAATATTAGCATAATGCGCCCAAATGTGCACGCAAAGAAAGAAGGCGTGGTTTCAGTAACCGCAGTTAGTGTTGAAGCAGCATGTCAGGGAGACGCTGTGTGTTTCTAGGCGAAAGCAGAAGCACTTTATTTGGCCTTCCGAAAGTAGATGCATTTAGGAATCTTTAAGATCACTTACAACAGAACAGCAATGCATTTTATGGACGACCGTTTCGTGAACCTAGGAGAGGAGGTAATTCTGACTTTGCTATGACAATCTGGCGCTTCTGAATCAGCTACTGTTTTGTTATTAGTTTAAGTATTTGCTATTGACTGTTCAAATGCGGAGTTTTGCGCATCGTGTGTGTGTGTGCGCGTGTGTGGGAGAGAGAGAGAGCGCGAGAGAGAGAGAGAGAGAGAACGCGAGAGAGAGAGAGAGCGAAAGAGAGAGAGAGCGCGAGAGAGAGTGCAAGAGAGAAAGAGAGCGCGAGAGAGAGCGAGAGAGAGAGAGAGAGCGAAAGAGAGAGAGAGAGCGCGAGCGAGAGAGAGAGAGAGCGAAAGAGAGAGAGAGAGAGAGCGCGAGAGAGAGAGCGAAAGAGAGAGAGAGCGCGAGAGAGAGAGAGAGGGGGTCACATCACAAACACATACCAGCTTCATCACTGTGTCTGTCACGCGACTCTGTTCCCCTTTCGGGCTCTGTCTTTACATTTATTTTGAAAGATGAAGCTCGCGATTATGGTAAGGGGCGTTACATTTCCGACGCGTGCTTGCGGTGTTCGGCCAATCACAATGCACTGGGTCAGCTGGCAAATCAGAGCAGACTGTGCTTGTCGGAAGGCGGGACTTTGTAGAAAACAAAGCTTTTGAGAGAGGCGGGGCATAGAGGACCTACAATAATGTACAGTATTTGAAAAATAATGTGTTTTTTGAACATTAAAGCATGTCAGCATATTCTGTTACACCAAATACACAAAATAATGATCTTTAAAAAAGCATCATATGACCCCTTTAAAGTTTTCCATATCATCTTGTTTTGAATAAATGTGTGGCTTAAAAGTCTGATATAGATGTTTGAACATATTGCTGGAACTTTATATAAATGCAGACATAACACTTAATCTGTATTTAAAGGGGTCATATGATGCCATTTCAAGTTTTCCTTTGCAAGATTTGCATAACACCGCCCAAATGTTCACGCAAAGAAAGAA